TAAAAGGCCTATTTTGAAACAAACAAAACTAAATTTTTTTATTTTGATGAGAAATTGTTTGTAATACTATTGTTTATATAAATATTTTATATGTTTATTACAATAAATAATAAAACACCCAATTTCCGTCGATTTTGCATATTCATTAGTAATAGGTAATAGGTTATTCCAGAACACTTGAAATTTCCACAATTAGTCTATTTTATGACAAACCATATATTATAAGAGTAGTAGAAGCAATGCGCATTACTTGTAATAGCTGATAGTTCCAAAAACATTTATGATTCTGTCTGTATTATATTCATAAACTGTTACTAAAAATTATTATTTTACGTACTTGTTAAACGAGAAACAAGAAAATATACATTTGTTTTGTGCTCAATTTATGTTAACACAAAATAGTAGTGGTATAGAAAATAATTCAAAAAGAACACTTGTAAAATATTTCAAATCGACTAAGTTTTAAATATACAAAGTTTTAACGTATACTTCTTATACTATTTAAAATTTTGTATTTTTGTAATGTAATATAGTAGAAAGTTAGTTTCGGACAACATACGTTTAGTAGTCTCATTGTAAATTTCAGTCATATTATCACAGCTTACCATGGCACTAGTATTACCTAGAAATATATATTACAAGTTATTATATACTATTTATATTTATTATTTATGTTTATAATAATTGAAACTTGTATGAAAATATTTGTATGTATATTTATCATAAGACACAGCTATATCAATATGATTCATAGAATTACATTGTCTTTTAGAATTATCAGACTTTTCATTTGCATTGCACCCTCACAAGTATCGGTCTCGTTAATATTTCCTGAATTAATAAATTAAATTTGATCAAAACATTTACCAAATTTCGCAATTGAGAAGTTTTCGTAAATAATAATATTCTTAGTGGAGATAAAAACTGTCATTTCCTTCTGACAATCAGTTTCTGAGAACATAACATTACCCGAGTCGAAATTTAAAACCTACTATAAACCTCATACATGGTTATTTTAAGGCACTAGATATGTAGGTATTCTCATCCGCCATTTTGGTTCCTATTAGATGGAGAATTATAGCGTATACAGGGTGACACTTAAAGACTGCCCACTAAGTACATAGCGTTATTCCTTGCCAAAAAATGAGTCGAAAAAAGTCCTGAATCATTTTTAATAATTGACGTGTTATGGCTGGTTTATGCTTTGGTCTTAATCTTAATCTTAGTCTTAGTCTTAACTTAATCTTAAGGACTCGTTTATGCTTCCCTGGAAATTCGGACTACGCATGTGCAAATGTAACAAAACCTAACCTAACCTAACCACAAATTGTAATAGATCCCGGTGCTGCAAATTATAGTGAATGTTAAAATGAATTGTCAGCGGCAAAAAACTTTAATGTTTGGAATGGCACTTTTGTTATCAAGTGCCTATGCAGCATGTGTATTATTAAGAAATTAAAAAAAAAATAAAAGAAAACAACGGAGATACGCTGTTCGGCCACTGAATCGAAAAAGACACGAAACTGGTCATTTCTTTTCTTTAATGAAAGATATGCTGAATATTGAATACGATCAGGAACAATTTTTAAATATACACGGATCGAAAACCATTATTTCGCGTCGGTTTCGTGCTGCGTCGGACGTCAG